TTGTATTATTCGTCCAATGATCAGATGAATATTTAACACCACATAACCAACAGAATTGATATCCACATTTACATGTCATATGATTACACCCTCCATTCTTTTGGATTCTATCACCACAACTTGGACATTTTTTTGTATTTTGATTAATCCATTTCAGATCTTCTTGTTCTTGTTCTTTATTTCTCTTCCATTCATCACAACTTTTTCCTTCATGCCAATTTTCTCCGCATTTTCTACAAAACAAATATTTACATCTTGGACATGTAGTTTTATATTCCTTCTCAAATGTTATCATTTCACATCGACATTTTGGACATTCACAAATATTATCTTCAAATGTTTTAAACGTGAGTCTTTCACAATACATATTTAACATACAAATGTCTTGAATTAAACAATGTGTCATAATGTCTTCTATTTTCACTACACAATTACACCCTTGTTCCATACAATGAACTTGATGCCAATCACTTTGAATTTGTTGTATTATATTTTCCCTCCAACATTTTATACAAAACCTATGTCCACATTCATTTATAAATGTCTCCTTATAAGTATATTCTTCATAACAAACACTACAACAAAACATTTCTTTATTATTCTTCTGATTTTCTTTCCTATAATTTTCTACACATTCACACAGAATTTCTTTTTGTTTTTCTTCACTTAATTTAACAAATTCATTAAGATCAAGTTTGTATATTGAATGTGTAATCTCATTAAATTATCATTATTTATTAATAAAAGATATACATTTGATATAATGAATGATATACAACCTAAAAATCATCAAATAAAAATTAAATAAAATGAAATATTAATGACTGAATAAATAAATAATTTATAATCAAGAAAATCAAAATTTAACAACAATTGTATGAGACTAAGCTTTAGTAAAATATACACATGTATATCAAACAGAATAACTGACTTACTCATTATTCTTTTAAATAATAAAAGCAATTTTAAATACTATAAAAGATATGATAATGATAACAACAAATAAACAAGAATTGTATTAATTATATGTAGAATATTAAAATATTTCATATAATTAATGAAATATTATCTAGCTCTTTTATTAATTCTAAATAATAAATATTACCATTTAAGAATAACAAAGATAAGCTAAGACAAAACAGTATAATATTATAAAAAGAACATCCAATAAATAGTATAATAATGAGCAATAATGTATAATAATATAATATCCAATGTGATAAAAATATTCTAATCGATTAACCTCTACGTCAATTATTATATTGCAAAAAAAAAACAATTAAGTATTTTAAACAAATAATAGTAAAATACAATTTTTATAATTTCATGTTTTATGAAATAAACCAACAACACAATCTAAACAAATTGGTAAATGAAATAAAGCAATGTATTAAAGAAAGAAGAAAAAAAAATCTTACAAGAATAAACTCTATTGATTTAAAATACTTTTGATATTTCTGAAACAATAATGCACCTTTTTTACAACAATAATTTATTCTATTAATAAAAATTAAAATAAATAAGAAACAGTTTAAAATTTTTTATTCCTTGAATGTTTCTGCAAAGAATATTTTTTCGAAGGCAAAAATAAATTCAAAAGAAAGAAAAATAATGAAAAATAAATTGATTCAAAGAAAAGATGTTTCGAAGTTTTTTAAAAAAGAGGAACAAAAACCAGAAAAGAAAAAAGTCCAATGAAAACAAAGGTCAATACAAAACATAAACTACAATGCAATTGTTATTTTCATGAGAATAAGAAACAAAAAAAAAGAAGCAAAGAAAAAGAGAGAAAAATTCAAAAAAAAAAACTATTTCGTATTAACAAGGAAAAGGAAAAAGTAATAATAAAAAATAATAAAAGAATTAAAATGATGAAAAAGAAAAGAAAAGAAAAATAGAACTTAAAACGAGATAATTAATTTATACCAAAATGAATATGAAATGTAATTGTTTATTTTGCAAAGAATTTTCTGATTCTATTAAAGCCCAGAAAAGACTTGCATGGACTACTCTTTGTCGTTTAGCATTTTTATCTATTTATCAACGTACCCCAGTTGATTTTATTAATGTTCGAGATATCTTTAAATTCTTAAGTGTGCATTGGGATGTGTTGTCTCATTTAGAACAAATGAAGAAAAAAAATTGGAAGAAATCAATTCTTGATGCTTTAAATCATTCTGATTATTTTGAAAGTGGAATGAGTCAATATCATACAAATGGTTATTGGAGACTAACTGATAAATCTCTTCCAAATGTAAAGAATAGAAAAAATAAAGAAAATAATGTAAAAATATCTTCTCCACAAATCCCACTCAATCCAATTAAATTTGAGATTGATATCTTACAAGACAAAACCGAAAATAAACCGCCTAAAAGACCTCAACACGTTTTTGATATTCCAAAAGAAGAAAAGAAATCTTTTTTTGAAACTACTCAAAATTTTACTCCTTTTTCAAGCTATTATCAAAAACAGTCTTCTTATTATCCTCCTTGCGATCCTTTTTATGATGAACCACGTTATCCTTCTTATCAATACCCTTTACATTAATTCTGTATTTTTTGATATGACTTATTTTTTTCTTTGTTAAATATTAGAAATAAATAACAGTTTTGGAATAATAAGAAAAAAGTTGGAACAAAAAATTGTAGAATTTTTTAGAATAATTTAAGTTGTATGATTCTGGGATTTTCTCGTTTCTTGATGTTTTTTTGTTGATTAATTCCCACAATACTCGCTATCAAAATGATTGAATTGAATTGGAAACATGTCATTGTTTGAGCAGAGATAAAGAAGTATGTTGGAAGACTTGGCAAGCGTTAAAGAAGTTATCGTAAGCATCCCCATCACAAGAAGAAGAGATAGAAGCGTCGAGTTGGCAGAATGCGAGATTTAAGTCAGGAGAATTTGAGTATTTGAGTAAAAGAGAAGATTTCAAATGGTGATATATTTTAGGATAAAGAAGAAGAGAAGGTAATAAGGCTTTAGAAGTACAATATAAATCCATGTTTCCATTAAGTAGATTTTGAAGGAGAATTTCAATGATGTTTTTGACTAAGTCCAAATGTTGAGACAATAACAAAGAATGATCGGTTGAAGGAGTGGTGATGATTCTTACAGATTTTAGAAGATGGCTTTTAAAAGTGAATAAGATGATTTGTTCAAAAACTGGGATAGCAGACTCTTCACCAGATTGTAAAGCATTAAACAAAAATAGTAATGTTTCATGAAGATGATTACCAAAGAAGTCATCACAAGACACCATACCAATATTACAAAAGAGAGTAAAAATAAGTTTAGTATATTTTGGATAAAAACTAACAAAATCCCATTTATGTGAAATGCAGATAGAAATAATTGTTTGCATCAATACATGATGAGTTCGATCATTATAGACATACAAAGCACCAAAAGGGATGGTATCACTTGATAAAATAGAATTAATTGATTGGATACAATCTTCTAAATATGACACCATCTCATCTTCATTTAATTCGATAATAGAAGGTAATATCTTCATTAAAGATTCACAAATGTCATGATATAATATTAATGCGTCTGGAGTTTGTATAGAATAAAGTGATCTAAAAGGTTTAATGTTTGCAATATCAGATAAGAATGAAACAAATGAAGGTAAAGATGTGTTTTTAATAAAAATAGGTAATATCTTATGAACAAAATCAATAAATCCAAGATAATGAATACTTTCAGGAGGTAATGATAAGAAGAAAGAATGATATAAAAGTAATTTACTTTCGTAGTCATTTGGTTGAAGATGAAAAGAAGATTCAAGTTTATTTAATAATACAGAAAAATGTACTTTAGGAATAGTTATAATTAAATTACAAATAGCTTGGAAAAACATTTTTTTTGTTTTAACAGATAATTTTGTTATTTTTTGAGTCTAATAATAAATATTAATAAATAATAATAATAAATAAGAATATAAAGAAAATAAACAAACTAATGGTTCATCTAATATTTTATCAAGTAATCCATATTCTAATAACATTTTTGATGTTTTTTCTTTTCTTGAATATTTTTCAATAATAAGTAATGATTGTTTAATAATAGATTCACAATGAATATCTATAAAATAATGTAAATTAAAAATGATTTTATTCATAATTGCAATTATTAAATCATTTAAATTTTGAATTTCTAATATTTCTATTATATATTTTTCTGTTGTTCTTGAAATACTTTCATTAAGAAATACATTACGAATACTCTCAAAAAATCTTAATATATTTATTTCTATTTCTTTTACTCCATACCCAAATGGAATAGTTTTTATAATATTCATTTCTTTATTAATAATTTCAATTCCAATTTTCATTAATTTAATATCTAATTGTTCTTGTGTTTCATTTGTTCCATTAATTACTTGGTGATTTATAATAATACTTATTAATCCTATCCCAATACTTAATCTTTCACATTCTTTTTGTATTCTTTGTAAACTTCCTTTAATTTCTATTATATGTTCTATTTCTTTTGTAACTCTTTCAATATGTTTTGTCATTTCTTCTACAGTAAACATTAAATTAACTCTTGTTATTTCTCCAAATCCTTCCATTATTCCTTCAATATCTTCTTCTTCAATGATTTCACTATTATTAAATGCTCCTTCAATTACACTTTTACTAACTTCTTTTAGTGTTTCAATAACATTTCCTTTTTCTTCTCCACATTCATATAATCTATGTGACCATCTTGCAAATGTTGTTAATAAATAATATAAACTATTTTTATGTTCTAGATAATTTTCACTAATTCTTTCTATCAATTTTGCTGCTTGTGTTAAATGATATTGTGCTTTAACACTTCTTGTTCTTGTCATTCTATCTAAATATCTCCCTGCTGCAACTGCCATTTTTTCATTTTCTGCTGCTTCACAAATCATTCCTCCAAACTTACTTAAAAACTCATTATATTGTTGACGTGTTGTTCCACTAAATAAATTCTCTCTAACACTTGCTAATGTTATCATACACTCAACTAATGCTTCAAGATGATTTCCTGGAACAAACATTCTAATCATTTTTTCTTGTAATCCAATGCTTGAAAGTATTGACGCATATCCCATTGGAATTTCTAAAACAATGTCTTCTTCCTCTTCATATCCATTACTAAATGGATATTCTAATGCTATTTTCAATGTTTCTAATGCAATTTTACATTGAATTTCTTGTTCATTATTTTCTATTTGAATCCATCGAATAATAGTGATTATTGTTTCAACTATTCTTAATAAACACTTCTCTTTAAATATTTGAATTGTAATTGAATCAACTTCTTTTGTTTCAATAAATTCTTTAATAAGATTTCCTATTAAATACATTATCCCTTTTCCTTCTTCTGTAGCTATTTTACTTTCACATGCTTGACATAATTCGTATGTTGATTGTTCCATCATATCTGGCATTTTATTCCATTTTTTAATTAATAATTTACAATATAAATCTGAATATGGCGATCCTACAATACATGCGTATGGAACTAATGAATGAATAAGTTTGTCATATGAATAATTCAATGTATGATTATTTAAGTGACGAATAAGTAATTGTGATATGTATTGTGTTGTATAAATATTTCTTGATGAAAAAAATTTGACTAATTGATCGACTAAATCACTTGGTAATGGGGTATTTAAATAGTTATTTAATACATGTGATTGATTAGGATGTCTGAAATAATTTGTACAAGCTTCATCAAAAAGATGTTCATTTTGGAATAACAGGTTCATGAAGTAAAGTTGTTAGTTTTTGGGTTTATTGTTTTGCAAAGAATAACAAAAAAAATAAGAAAAAGAAGAAAAGAAAAATTAAAAAAAGAAACTAAAAAACAAAGGAGAAATAAAGAAAGGAAAGAAATGAACATTCCTCAAGAAGAAAGTTTGTTACTACAAATAATAATAATAATAATAATAAGAGAATAACAAAATATAGTTGAAAGATATGCAGATGACCCATTAAATTGGAGATATGATAAAATAAAAGAACGAAGAGATGAATATTCAATAAGAAAAGATGTGAATATGTTATTAGTAACATATAACATTAATGAAAAAATAATTAAAAAAGAAACATTTGAATATATTTTAGACATAAAAGAATATCAAATTGATATGATATTTATAGTTGTTGAAGAAATAGATATGAGTGTTTCAGGATTTCTTAAAGGAAATACATTAAGTTTAAAAGCAAGAAATTTAGCACAAAATATTCAAGAAGCATTAAAAAATATTTACAAAGAAGAATATAAACAAGTATATGTTTCACAATTAGGAGGGGTTTGTATAATTGGATTTGTTAGAAAAGAAATGGAAAATAAAATAAAACAATTTGCAAGTGGATATGAAGCAGTTGGAGCTATGGGAATGGCAAATAAAGGGGGGATTGCAATTTCATTTGAAATGTATGATACAACTATATGTTTAGTTGGATCACATCTTGCAGCACATCAACCTGAAATTAATAAAAGAAATCGAAATTTTAGTGATATTTATAATAATATTAAATTAATAAGAACAGAAGAAGGAGAACAAACTAAATGGAATAAAATTGAAGGACATGATATTATATTTTGGATGGGAGATTTAAATTATAGAATTGATGAAGAAGATAGCATTATTAGAGAAAGAATTAATAAAGGAAGTATTACAGAAATAATACAAGAAAAAGATCAATTAAAAGTACAACAAAAACATAATGAATTATTAGGAAAATTTAAAGAAGCAGAAATTGAATTTGAACCAACATATAAATTTTATCCAAATACACAAAATTATTCAGAAAAAAGAAAACCAGCATATTGTGATAGAATATTATATAAAGAATGTAAAGGATTAGAAATTAAATGTTTAAAATATACAAGTAAAAAAGAAGCAATTGAATCAGACCATAAACCAGTTATTGGATGTTATAGTGTTGAAACAAGAAGTATTATAAAAGAAAAATATACATTAATTGAAAAAGAACTTATTGAAATGGAAAATAAATTACTTAGAATTGTTAGACCATCAGTTAAAATTAATAAACAAGAATTTATAGTAGAAATTTATCCATATAAACAAACAGAAGTTACATTACTTGTTCAAAATGATGGAAATGCTAAAACATCAATACTTTTTAGAGATCATCAATTAGAAAAAGCTGGTGGATATCCAGATTGGTTACATATTGAACCACAACATTTAGAAATATCAAAAAATGATTTTGAACCTAAAAGTATTACTTTCTATTTTCAATTCAATTTTATTGATACATCAAGTTTATTTAAAAATGGGTCTTTTGATTATAATTTGATTCTTGAAATTCAAGGTGGAAAAAGTTTATTTATTACTTTTAAATTAGTTTTATTACAAACTTCATTTGGTAAATCTATTGATGACTTAAATTTACATCCTAATGGTTATATTTTATCTCAACCTCAAGCTTATACTCCTTTAGTTATTCCTAAAGAAATTTGGAGACTTTGTGATTATGTACTTCCTTTTATGCATGACCCTACTTTTATTTCTTTATCACATCCTTCAATTGATT